AGCTGGTCTGGCCTTGTCATTTTTTTTCTAAGCCTCAGGCTTCAAACTCGGGAGACCAAGAGGATTATCCACTCGTCTGAGCCATTCGGCTTACTGATAACGAGAGGATTGTGTCTTTTGACATGACGTTTTTTTCCTCTCGATTCCACACGCAGTAAGAACCATGCAAAACCTGCAGACAAAAAAAATTACGTCCAAGCGGACAAACAACTAACCTTGGAGCGCTTTATTGCTATAGAAGTGCTGCAGAAGTTCTTATTTTCAGCGGAGCTGTGCAAATAGGGTCTCCAGTTTCGAGCATACCTGCTCAGGCTATATTTCAGTGGCTTGATATGCTGGATTTTGGGCAGTTTTGACTAGTGTGCGTTATGTTGATGGCGCATTTCTCCTCATCGGTCGAAACAGGATTGAGAAATTCGTCCAACATCTGAGCCAGGTCATCCCAGACATTTAATTTACAATGGAAGAAAAAAAGACTTAATTTCTGTCTCCGCTCTTGTTTGTCTGCAGATAAAGCGAAGGAAAACCCAGAGAAAACGATTTATATTCCAAGTTTCTGCAGCAACCACCCCATTTTGTACAAACGCAGCTGTCTACAAACAGCTTAGAAATGCGTGCTTAGACAATGCGTTCGCCAGCAGCTTCTTTCTGCCCACGTTGACTGTGCTGCATATATTTTTTTTAAATTTTCCCTTCATGCAGAGAGTTACGTTATCTTGTTTTTGCCACAACTTCCTGTCTTGCACTGCGTCGTCGGTCGCTTGTGCCTTCAATCATTCATGAGAAAATTTTTACAGCGATGTCCTTTTTGCAGTCAATGTTGACGTAGGACAAACTGTCGAGAAAATTGTAGCAAAGTTTATTCGCACAAAAGCTGCTAGAAGTAGCCTGTAGGAGTCAACGCAGGACTAATGCTTTACGTAGAATGTTACACAGTTTGATAGGTCAGTGCGGTAACTGTTTTTTTCTTTTTTCTATCCGCCAAAGCGGGCCATTATTTTTTGAGGTCGTTTTCACTTTGCACTTTTCTTCTTTTTGACTGATCTTTATTCAGACGCCTTTGTTAAGATAAAGAATGATTTGAGGCACATCGCATGTTGTGATTAAGTTTTTTGAATGCACTCTCTAAATCTTTCAATGCCTCCCCCCCTCCCCCCAGGTGTCTACAATTGCCGTGAACTACGAGGGTCATCCTTTCCGCGAATCACTCACTGAAAATCGTCCTCTACTGCTCAGCCTGCTAGCGGCCACCGTTGGCACCGTCTGCTTGGCCTTTGGCGCACTCTCGGAGAACCTTGAGCTGGTGCTTCTCGACGATCAGGTAGTCACCGTACAAAGTGTGAACAAGGCAAAGGTCACGAGGCTAGCAGAATTTATTGAAGTCATATAACTTTGCGACCTCTTATTCGACCGCAAACGGGCGTTGCCTTTTAATCCGATAAATTAGCAGCCCAATTAAGTGTCGACCTAGAAGGGTGAAACTTTTTAGGGTAAATAGAGTAGAAGATGGATAACTGAGGTAATATAATTTAAAGATAGCAATAACAGGAAGGTTTATTGGATCCATGGCCTTTCGAGAGAGCTCTTCACTTGCTGCCTCTCATTGCGTAACGTGAATCACTTAAGAGAAAATACTAATTGAATTCATACAGAAAA